AATATCGAAGCAAATTCAAGCAGAAGATGGGGAATACATATAGAGTGGTGTTAGAAAAATAACGAGTGGATGCAAGAGCGCCACTGTTTGCGACACCCAGCCATATCACTTAGTGTAGCTAACCATCGGTGACCATCATCCCGAGGTCCCCAGCCAGGGAGCCTAACGGGGCCTATATGACCAAGTTTCCTGTTTAGGGTTTTCATACGCTCATGCCAGGTCTTAGTTTGACCACCCTTTATCTTTTTCCAATCGCTACCAGCCTTGGCAAACATCGTTCGCCGCGGCAACCTATCTGGCGACATACATAACACATGTCCCAACCAGCGTAATCTATGGAGGTCGATCACTTGCTGCAGTGGACGACCGCAAGCGCCTAAAACTCTATGCCTAATCTCAGACACGTGCAATTCTACGTAGACAGCGGTGTTCGAACACCGACAATCTATTTTTATCTTGTTCCCTTAGTGGCCAAGTCTCTGCAGCGTAGAGCAGGGCTGGCCGAACTGTTGCAGCATACACTCGACCCTTCACAGACAGCCGGATGTCGCGACGGCGCCACAAATGTCTCAAGTTAGCACATGACAATCGAGCCTTTTGTACCCTCTCTAGCACATACTAGTTAACAGAAAAAATCTGCACAGACTGCTAAAAGTTTTGGGATTCAATTTTTTTCGTTCTTTTTCTCCTTCTCTCCAATTTGTACATTCTAACTGAAATGTAAAACTACATTAGCAATACCGTAATCCATGCCGCTCTGTTCTGCACTCCAATCACCCCGCGCGCCTTCCGTTGTTACTGTTGTTGCTTTGGTCCTATATTTGAGTACAATCCATTGATGTCAAAGAACGACCCACATGATGTTCTGCAAGGATCAATAAGTTTCACACAAACGTGAGCTTCTACGAGCAGGGGAAAACTGTTGCACTGATCTGTGTATTTTCTCATGTACTGCAATGAAGTAAACAACCAAGAAACTTATCGAATTGGGTGAATAAATAATAATAAGATTAACCGAGGATAGATAGGAAGTTTATTTGACAAGACTTACTTTGATTGTCGTTGTGTTTCTCACTTGATATGTGCACTCACAATTGGGAAACAAAGCATCCTCACTGCCCAGTATATTTTTGCAAGTACTATTTTGAGAAAAGTATGAAGATGACTGATACCACATTACCATTTATCTGCCGGTACTGCTTTCACGTAGATTTTCTTTGTGGGCACGGTACCGTTCGGATCGCTGGCACGATCGAAGCCAATACATTTGCAACGTGCATCTTCATAAGCCCCCTAAATTACACAGGTGGTGTAATGGATCACGCTTATTATGGTATCACTCACTTTAATAGAGCCACACAAGCACAGCCATATCAATATGATAGAAACGTGCATAGATTATGCAGGTGTGGTGTGGGATGGCACGCTTTCCTTGACGAAGATTGAACAAGTTTACTGAAATAAAGCAAAACTGGGGGTGAAGACTTTTGAATTTGAAGAAATATCAAAGACATCGAATCTAAAAGCCTCCGTACGGTCAGGGGTGGGTGTCTTAGGTTGTGGCTGAACACCATTCCCTTGCATCCCATGAAATGCTCCTGTAAGACCTAGCATCTCAAATGGCCTTTGCTGAGGAAGCCCCACACACTGCGTTCTTGTGGCGGCTTATTCTCTAAAAAGCCAGAGGACGATAAGCCAATATCCGGGGCTATAACCGAGTTGGTGAACCACTGCCAGTTTACCTAGGAGAGTTGGCTAAAAACCCTGATTCAAATTTTCATATTTTTATTATGGGAAAAACTTACAAAGATTTCACTTATCAAATCCCATAGGGTGTTTACACTTAGGGTTCGGAACACGATTCACAAGATCACATTTAGTCCATGTACGTAGAATAGTAATGTTTTTGACGAGCACAGGAGAAGCATTGAAGCATTATGTTTGCCAGAGCATCATCAAGCTGAGGCTTGAAGGCTACTAACGTTGGCGCACAGACCACGTGAGTTGGTAGAGTTCCATGTGCTGCACATTGACTGCAAACGAATAGAGTCTGTAGTTGAGACTGTGGCAACTTCAGTAGATGCCCTCTGCAATGAACATTGGTTGATAGAACTAAAAGAGATCTGTATGGATGGTTTGGCTGTCGGAAAGTCCGATACAGTATGATCATATTACCTTTGATCTGATGATATTGAGACGGGTATAGCCCCGGTAGCTATAATCTTTCGCCATAGACCTTGGAATGTAGACCTTTGGCCATCTTGGTAGCCATTCTCTGCGGGTGTTCGAGCGCCTTCCGATCTCGCTGCAGCCATGGGTTCCAGGCCTGAATTAAGTACTCGGTGTATGGACGGATATGTGGCTAACAGACATGAAAACAAACCCTGCTCAAACGGTCCAAAAACAAGTTTAAGCAGTCCAAACTGTTTTACCGCCATGGACGATGCCCTGGAACAGTTTGTGGAGCAAACCAAGTCTGTGCGAATGGCTACTCCCAGATCCTCCTCGGATGGAGCATAAGGCAGAGTTTCGTATCCGAGAGTGTAGGAAAAACGATCATTGTGACTTAGTGATAAAACTCATACTGTCTAACAATCCAGCAGTGAAGACGGTAGTTCATTCCACCCATCTATCACCCTACTCCTAAAAAACTTGGGTCCAAGGTTGAGTCGGCTCCTGGCCTTCGTTCGTTTCGGATGATGACCCTTTGTTGGTTCAAGTGGTGCTTGGGCGAACAAGCTGTTCGCCTTTAGCCGTCAGACCCTTCATTATTTCGAAGGTCTCCATGTCGTGTATTACACTCTTTGTCTATTGCACATCGCTGTATTTATAACATTTCTCTTTTATACGTTTCAGCCTATATGCCTGTTGTTAGACGAATAAAGCGTCACATCTCCGGGCTCTCAGTCTTCTCTCTCTCGAGCAACTACCAATTGTTGTCATCTCCCCGTATTCAGAATATAACAATTTATTCGTTTAACAGTGGATCGGCCTTATCGACCAGAACGCTTCGACGCGGATCCTAGTTGTCCCTCAGCCTCGAAAGTTTGTAATCATTGGCTTCGCACATTCATCTTGTTTATCACCAGAGCGGCGAAATCAGATGACGAAAAGCTGGAGCACCTCAATGGACGCGTTTCTTCCACAGTTTACGAGTATATTGCCGAGAGTGAAACGTTAGTCTGCTATGATGATCCTAGAGCAGCTTTACGTGAAACCCAAGAACGAGGGTTTTGCTCAACATATTCTACCAGTAGACAGGAGGCAGGTCAGAATCTTGATCAGTTTATGCAGAAGCTGGAATCACTTGCAGAAGACTGTAACTTCATAGCCGTCACGGTCGAATAAAACTAAAACAACGCCATATGGGATGCTTTCATCAGGGGAATGCAGCCCAGTAGCATCCGTCAACGCCGCTGGGAAAAGCGGGCGCTTGACCTAGAAACAACATACGAACAGGCTAGAACCTTAGAGATGGCATATCAACAGTCCAACGTCTTTCACCCAAACGATTCCGCTTACACAGCTAGTCATTGATCCCAAGTCACAAAACACGTCTACATCGAACTTGGTGCCCCGCCAACCTAATCCAATGGAAGACAGTATGGCCGCTTTGAGCAACATTCGCTGTTTCTTCTGTGAATATTCCAAACATCCTCGTTTCAGCTAAAGATCCAATCTGCAAGCCTTGCGGAAGAAAGGATATTATCAGAAGGTTTGTCGATCCAAGAAAAATTCAAATTAATCATATGTTTCCAGCTCCCTGATATTCTGCATCACTCTCACTGCAGCTCCATTGTCTGTTCAATGCAGTTATCCGGTTCTCAGTAAACGGAATATCTCTTCAGGCTCCCAATGACACTGACAGTTCTGCTAGTTACATATCGAACTCTGTGGTACGAAAACATAATTGGAAGGTCGAAAACTCCCGTAGTGTTGTATCCATGGCTTCGATAAACCTAACCAGTTTCCCAAACAGACAATGTTTTGTTAATTTATTGTATAAGAATCATCGTTATACAAATATCAAGCTCTCGGTGTTAGAAAACCTCTGTTTAGATGTCATCTTTGGATGCGATTTCCTACTACTACACTCAAAAATAGAAATTACACTCAATGGAGCGGCTGCCAATATCGAACCACGTCCGATATTTAACAATTTTACACCTGGTTGCGCTTCAGCTGCAACCAAGTCTCGGGGGCATTCACCCTCTGACGAGCTGTTCATAGAAATCGAAATGCAAAAACGTCTGAGAGATGATATCATAGAACCTTCGCATTCTCTTTGGCGTGCCCAAGTACTTGTTACTACCAACGAAGGTCAAAAACGCAGAATGGCAGTTGACTAAAGTTAGATGTTAACCGCTTAACGCTCTTGGATGCCTACTCCCTACCCAATATGGACGAAATGGTGGAGAAAATCTCACGGTATACGATATTCAGTACACTAGACTTGAACAGCGCGGACCATCAGATACCCTCAAGGGACGTAGATAAAACGCATACGGCATTCGAAGCGGGTGGCGATTTCTATCAGTTCTGTCGGAATACCTTCGGCATCACCAATGGTGTTTCTTCTTTCCAAAGAGCTATCGATCAAATCATTAGGAGCGATAAACCGGAAGCGACTTTTGCCTATTTAGATAATATCACGGTACGTGGTTCCTCTAAACAAGAGTATCGTTTCCACAAAGTTGCTCGTAAATACTCCTTCATCTCTAATGACGCTAAAAGTATCATAAACACAGACAAAATCA